ACATCTTGCTTACTACTCTGCATCTGATCACTGATTGGCCAATCAGTGATCACAAGATCAGGACCTCGTACAGAGGTCCCGTCCGACGATCGGTGTTCCACTGTGTCCGGAGGACACAGCAGGCACCGGATTGCGGTGCTGCACGCTCCCAGGGAGCGCGCACAAGCACGGTGCGGGGAGGACATTTATAAATGGCCAACTGACCCTGCACTGCCACCGTCTGGCCGTTTATATACAACGACCGGATGGGAGGTGGTTAAGCACCTCTATGCACAGGAGCTATGGGTAGACCATCTGTCAATTTTTAATTACTAATGATTATTATGGGTACCACTATATACATTTTGAAACCTATAGAGCTCACTGATCTATACGATTACAGAAGAGTGACTCCATGTTATTCGAGTTTTCCAAGTCCATGAACATGGAACCTGAATGGCTGCTATATCTGCCCTCATAAATCAAACTGAGAAGAGCATTTAAAGTAAAGAGATTTGAAAAGACACCTCCTCCCTCAGACAAGCCCCATACACTCAACCTCACTGTATGGTTACATGGCTGACCACATCTAGAGTGCAACAACATTTCTGCGTTCTGCAAACAGAATACAAAGAAAATACCGTATACGCTGCAAGCTGTGCTTTCACTGTTGTAAGTTGACCTATTACAGCTGTTAATATTTGAACACCGTCATAAACTTAAAGGGTTTTACCTGCTGCACCCTTCACTTTCCTTCAATATTGACACAAAGGTTCTCAGCACCTGAAGGTTTAATACACATACCGATCATGCAAAAATTCTACAAATTTCAGTTCATGACATTTGCATCTCACCATTCATACATCATAAATACAACTTCAATTCATATTTTCAGCTAGTGATCCGTGTGCACAAATGCAAACTAAACACATGGATAAATTACTGGTCAAACTAGTCCTGAGGGTTGAAACTCAAAGACAAGTATGCTTCTTCATCAGCAGTTTCTTTTTTTCATTTGTATGGCATATTTAATGATTAAAGTATCTTTGGACTAAACTTTTTGTTTGGTTGAGTGGGGAAGAGTCCCCACTGAGGAGCTCAAAAGAAGTATGGGATTGCCAAAAAAAAATGTATAGTTACCAAAGTATATGCAGAATCGGTTCAATGCTACATGAGACCTGAGAACACAAAGACCACCGATCGCTTGGTTCTAGGTCTTCAGTGAGCATAGAGCTGGTGCTCTGCCCCTCCAGCGCCCAATGGAGTGTGAGGCTCAGGCTCTTAGTGGCTCGCCGAGAGGCTTAGCCAACTGCTGGTCCAGGCATCTTGGTGGATCCCAGCCATATGGTCTGGATCTTCCTAGAGCCTGGACCGGCTCTGTGACATCAGCAAATGGCGGGCCTTAGCCAGCTGTTGGCTGAAGATGGGTCACAGGAGTGCAGAAAGCACTTTACTCCTGTAATCCACAGAAAAAAAAAAAAAAAAAAAAGATTATGGAATACAAATGTGTTCCAGACCAAGAGGTGAGAGAAAAAAAAAAAATCTTCCATTCTGCCCATTTGATCCATGGAATCTATGTAGGATTCCCCCTAATTTCCAATTGAGTTTCTGGGACAGAAATCAAGGGAAATTTCCCCAATCGTACATAGAGAAACTGGCAGGAGTTTTAACCCTACTCTATAAATAAAAAAGGTTTCAGTTATACATACTGTACAGCACATATTTGATTTATTTATTTCAGGTACTTATATAGTGCTGTCAATTTACGCAGTGCTTTACATATATATTGTACATTCACATCAGTCCAAGACCCTCAAGGAGCTTACAATCTAAAGTCCCTAACTTACATTCATACATACACGTATTTGCCGGCGTATAAGACGACTTTTTACCCCTTGAAAATCTTCTCAAAAGTCGGGGGTCGTCTTATACGCCGGTATACGGCATACTGACACTTTTTAGGGGGGCGGCGCGTTGCCGCCGCTGCCCCCCCCCTTCCCCCAATGGAAGGGACACTAAGTACAGGGGTGGGCAGCGGCTGTTTCTTACCTGGTTCCGGTCCCACGACGATCCGGTCCAGGAAGCGCGGCTGCGCCTTCAGTTCGGCCACTGGATGTTCGTGCGGCTGCTCGGCTCCGCCTCCTCACCAGTGATTGGCCGCCAGAACTGTAGCTCAGGAAAGGCACACAGGCGGCCAATCACCGGCGAGGGGGGGGGTGGAGCCGAGCGGCCCCGCGAAAATCGAGTGCAGGACCAGCAGGTAAGTGGTCAGTGTAGAGGTGCTGCTGCAACCACATATGCTGGCTGCAGCAGCACCATACGAGAACAGGGTCAGCAAGTGTCAGTGGGAGGAATAGTGCCCCATCATTGGTGTCACTGATACCAATGATGGAGCACTATTCCTCCCACTGATACCAATGATGGGGCACTATTCCTCCCACTGACACCAACGATGGGGCACTATTCCTCCCCCCCCACTGACATCAACGATGGGGCACTATTCCCCCCCCCCCCACTGACACCAATGATGGGGCACTATTCCACCCCCCACTGACACCAATGATGGGACACCATTCCTCCCACTGACACCAATGTTGGGACACCATTCCTCCCACTGACACCAATGATGGGGCACTATTCCCCCCACTGATGCCAATGATGGGGCACTATTCCCCCCCCACTGATACCAATGATGGGGCACTATTCACCCCACTGATACTAATGATGGGGCACTATTCCTCCCACTGACACCAATGATGGGGCACTATTCCTGCCACTAATGCCAATGATGGGGCACTATTCCTGCCACTGATACCAATGATGGGGCACTATTCCTGCCACTGATACCAATGATGGGGCACTATTCCTGCCACTGGTGTGCATTGGAAGAGGGGTAGTCTTATACGGCGAGTATAGCTCAAACACTAAATTTTAGCAGGAAAAGTAGGGGGGTCGTCTTATACGCCGGCAAATACGGTACATAAACTAGGGAAAATTTGGACAGGATCCAATTAACCTACCAGCATATCTTTGGAGTGTGGGAGGAAACTGGAGTACCCAGCGGACACCCACACAGGCACAGGGAGAACATGCAAACTCCAGGCGGGGCGTGCCGTGGCTGGGATTCGAACCAACAACCCTAGTACTGCCAGGCGGAGGTGCTAACCATTTAGCTGCTGCGCTGCCCATATTGCGTTTGCTGATGTCACAGAGCCGGTCCAGACTCTAGGAAGATCCTGACCATATGTGAAATGTATTGTAATTATACTGTCTCCCTTATATTGTAAAGTGCTGCGCAAACTGTTGGCGCTATATATATAAATCCTGTATAATAATAATGGCTGGGATCCACCCAGATGCCTGGACCAGCAGTTGGCAGAGCCTCTCGGCGAGCCATTAAGAGCCTGAGCCTCATGCTCCATTGGGTGCTGGAGGGGCAGAGCACCAGCTCTATGCTCATGGAAGACCTAAATGCTAAATCCTCACAAGGAAATAGAACGAGTACAAAACTGACAATCACTTAAAAGAAAAACAAAAAAACAGGAGAGTGAAAAACTGAACCTCTACCATCCAATGAGATTTTCTTATTCATGCTCAATGCTAGGAAAAATAAAGCAACGCCTGACTACTTTATGGGCAGCAGAAGCATTTCTCTGCACCCAAGAAGCAATATTTTATATAAAATAAAGAGGGCCAAATATTAAATGGAAGAACATGGAGTGAGGGAAAGAGGAACACCTGGTCAATGAAATCCTTTTTTCTCTCCTACTCGTATCTTCCTAGGCAACGCTGCAAACATTTGCTAGGTGAATGGCATACGTGACAGGAAGAACGAGATTTACATGAATTGGCTGATGTCAGTCTCTACACCAAACCTAGATTACCAGAGATTGAATCACGAATATCCATAAAGTCACCAACCAGGAATAGAAGGACAAACAATAGAGCGGATGAAAATCTCAAAGGTTGTGTACGAGGATGTTCGCTATGGGTTATGCCCCTTTAAAACCAATTTAGAAATGTCAGAATCCACCATTGTCAACCCTCCTTTGGTTCTCTTCACTCCAACCAAAGTCATATTTGCAGTTTTGGTTGTGAGAGCAGAAAAAAAAAAAACACTATAAAAGAGGGCTTGTACATTTAGAACTCGTTCACACTATGGTGCAGAGACGTCAGTTTTTTTGCACGCGTTCTGCAAGGGCACAACAAAATCAATTGTTCTCTATGTGCCCTGTTCACACCACAACACTGGTATCACGAACAAATTTTTTCTGCGTAGGTATCCGCAACATGTATAAAACTCATTAAATTGTGCATGAAAACTGACGTAAACTGATGTCTCTGCAAGTGAAACCTGCGCGTCACTTTCCATCATTCTTTCTACATGTATGGTGTGAACTGGGCCTTAAAGTGTTACTAAACCAAAACAGTAAAGTCTGTGTATGCAGTAAAGCATGCTTGTTATACTCTGTGGAACCTAAGGGGTTAATCCTCTGCATTGTGAAAAAAGGATGTTTGATCCTTCTCTGCTCCTCCTCTTGTTGAAATGTCCACGCTGATACAGACTGAATACATAGTCACATGCACATGCTCAGTTTGGTGTGTATTGCTAAAGAGGTTTGCTTTTCCTTTTTTCTTGGGCGGGTGCATGTGATCAGCACAGGGCCAATCAGCACTGTCCAGACAGAGGATCAGGGGTTTCATATCCTCCCAGAGCAGAAAGAAAACTCCTCCTACAAGCTTTAACCAGTGCTCTGCTTAAGTTACAAGACTGCTATAACTGCTGATGAGAAAAGGTATTTAGCAGTTTATATTTACTAAAATAATTGCATTTCCATGTTGTGTGTACTGTGGGAGACCAGATATAGTAAATGCAGGGTCCGGGGAGGGGAGACCCGATATAGTGAATGCAGGGTCCGGGGAGACCCGATATAGTGAATGCAGGGTCCGGGAGACCCGATATAGTGAATGCAGGGTCCGGGGAGACCCGATATAGTGAATGCAGGGTCCGGGGAGACCCGATATAGTGAATGCAGGGTCCGGGGAGACCCGATATAGTGAATGCAGGGTCCGGGGAGACCCGATATAGTGAATGCAGGGTCCGGGGAGACCCGATATAGTGAATGCAGGGTCCGGGGAGACCCGATATAGTGAATGCAGGGTCCGGGGGAGACCCGATATAGTGAATGCAGGGTCCGGGGAGACCCGATATAGTGAATGCAGGGTCCGGGGAGACCCGATATAGTGAATGCAGGGTCCGGGGAGACCCGATATAGTGAATGCAGGGTCCGGGGAGACCCGATATAGTGAATGCAGGGTCCGGGGAGACCCGATATAGTGAATGCAGGGTCCGGGGAGACCCGATATAGTGAATGCAGGGTCCGGGGAGACCCGATATAGTGAATGCAGGGTCCGGGGAGACCCGATATAGTGAATGCAGGGTCCGGGGAGACCCGATATAGTGAATGCAGGGTCCTGGGTTTAGTAACACTTTAAAGTTCAAGTGTTATAAAGGGAATTAAGGGGTCGCCATTCCTGGTTGTGTCTGCTTTCATTACCTTGGAGTCATAGGTCCAAAATAAGCAGGAACCCTACATTAGCCATACCAATCATGATCCAAGCAATACTAGGCCTCAGAAATGAATCAGAGAATTGTTTTGCTAAGCAGCAACCATATTTTACTTATCAGTTTAGGAGACAAACTCTGGGGTTCGGCCATGTAGGACCACTAAAAATTGGCAATATGGTTCTTAGGCCATACAAAATGCCAGCACTTTACTATAGAATACGAGGTACAGCTCAAGATTGAAGCCCGTCAACCTTTTAAAAGTGTTGAGGTAAAACATGGTAACACAGTAAGGGCAGCCCATACTATGACAAAAGCAGTATATTTCCAGCTGTTCTGGTTACCCAATTCTTTCAAGGCCAGCTCAGGCCCAAAAAAAAAAAAAAAAAAAAAGAGCACCAAGGTCAAGAAACTTTGGCATCTCCAGATGATCTGAGAAAGCAGAAATGCAAGGAAGTCTGTTCCAAACAAACCACATTTCTAAATACATTTTGCAGATGAGCAAAGGAAGCCTGCACAAAGGCGATCATGCCACGGAAATCTTACTTTCTGCTTTTCTTAGTTTAGAAACAGCTGGGATAACGACACTTGTCAATTCAGGTCAGTCTGTGGCATAAGTCGACAGAGTCCCCAAACCCAGTAATGGCTTGTCAAAGGTTTCTCTTTAAATCTGACCTTTATTTTTGCGGACCCATTTAAAAAGGCTGGTGAAAACAAAGGGAACATTAAAAACTGACAAAATAATTAAATCAGGCTAAAACAGAAAAGTCACAATGTTCCTTTACTACTTACACATTACTGTTAGATGTTTGCCTCAGATTTAGGGTATGTCAAACAAAAATTGTTTTTTTTGTTTTTTTTTTTTAAGTACATGTATGAAGTACACGTCTTCAGTGCATTCATTCATCATTTTAATCTATTTTATTATTTTTTCAATGCATGAAAGTTACAACCATAGGGAATTTGTGTATTGATACATGTATCCAGATTGAAACAATAAAACGTCAATTTTTCAATTACATTGTCATTCTTGTTTCAGAAGACTGCTTCTGTACAGATTTAAATGAAGGACAGCATATTCTATGTAATTATACAATGAAAAAAGCTTTTATATAGTTATACAAGGCAATTCCCTGAGATTAGCCAGACACGACATTCTGGCCTCTAATTAAAGCAGCATAAAAAAGGAAATGGCCAAGCCCCAGCCAAACCAGGGGCCAGTCTGGTAGAAGAAAAGAAAAAAGGAAAAAAAAAAAGAAAAAGACAGACAGATGTAGATAAAAATACTATCCATGGAATAAAAGGGGAGAGAAAAATTAAAGATGCCCCCCCTTCTCTGATGTAGAATATAGTATCCACAAGACCCTATCTTATTACATTTGTTTAGTGATCTGTAGAGCATACAAGTACATACGCTCACTTTGATGTGCCCTCTTCTGCTGGACTAAGGAACACCTCCCCCATATATATATATATATATATATATATATATATATATATATATATATATATATAAATTGGGTTTTTTTTTTTTTTTTTTTTTTCAGTGAATCCAAATCCAACTACTTTGGGGTGGCTTTTAGGGATTATACGTGGCAATCCTGCTTTAAAGTTTTCTATGGCCCTGACAGTGACAAAGGATAAAATCCAGCAACAGGTTAACAGCCTGCCCATATGGAATGCATACACATAGACCAGTGTAATAGCAGAAGTGCAATGACTATGAAAACACCAATAATTATTCTTTTAAGTCTTTGATAGAGCAGGGAAGGGTCAGCACTTTGACCTACTGGGGGATCTTCTCTTGTGTTATTTGGACAGGAGGTGAGGAAAGCACTCACTAACAAAAACACAGCAATAAAGAACATTTTATACAGGTGAAGACAGGTTAGAAACTGTCGCTTTTGTCTTCTGTCCCTGCAGGAGACATCTCTGTGGTGGTGAACCTAATTTTCCAACGGGGGCAGAAATGATCATTTTGACTTTTTTGGAAGAATGGGGGCAGTGTAGCCTCTCAACCCTTTACCCGACAGGAATCCTTGAAAAAATGTTCAGGTCTCAAGGTACCCTTGATAAATTTACCAAGGGGTCAATGGGAATAATGTCCCTCTTACAGTAGTAGCCAGAAGGCCACCCTTACAGACAGCAAAAAGATATTTGGTGTTATGCTGATGGCTTTGCCATGTGGCATTGACCCCAGAACTATGTAGGCACCATCAAGTGGGAGGTTAATCAGCCACAGCTCAAGAAACCACTAGCAACCACTGCAGGAACTCTGGTTGAGAAGGGCAGGTTTAGAACCGGCAGATTTTTTTTGTTGTGCATTGGAGTGTTCATTTTGCTTCCTATGTGGTCACCAGAACAGGAAGTGACAACAGCTCTCCAACAGGGACTTCTATAAAACCTGGGAAAGGTTCTAAATGTTCCCAAAATTCATCAAAAAAGTTTGGAGTTTCACCTTAACTGATCTGACTACCACGTCCTGAGTATAGAATGGCTTCCATGAGCTACTTTAACAGAGGAACTTGCTATAAAATCAAGATGAAGACCATCATTGCTGAGCTCTCCTGGAAATGTCAGTTGCCTGGATGTCCTGCTGACCCTTTGCCTTAAAGACTGATCTGCATGTTGGTTCCAATCTACTGATTCTGAAAATAAAAGCAACTTGTCTTAACTGCAACAAAGGAATGTTTATGCTCAACTGTCTCGCTGCCTGTTCTGGAATTTTCACTCTGTTCAATACATATGATCTGAAGAATCTTAAAAGATGAAAACAAATTTACATGGCAAGGATCAAGCAATTCGACACTCCTAGAAGTGTCAAATGTAAAGATTCTTCCGGAAGTCGTAGCTGCCAAGGAAGATTCCAGAAACGAGCAACAGAGTCAATCTAGTAGATCAGAAAACAACCAGCCAATGAGCAATGGGAGCCCTTGTATTTTTTGCATGACAGGTTTACTATAATCCATCTATTGCTTCCTTTCAGAAATCAACACCCACACCAAATGTTTTTGTTGCCCAAATCTTAGCACATTGTGATTTCTCTTATTTATCGAAGTTTTTAAACTTCATGAGAGAAACATACCTGTCACACGCATCTGTAACCGCAAAAAAAGGACTGAAAGCTAGTTTACGTAAAACAGTTAAAATGAAATTGATATAAAGATAATCTTCAGGAAATGATAAGACCTGCATATAAAAGAGAAGATGATGGTACTGCCGGGAGCCAAATCTTCCTATATACAGGTTACATTCTGTTCATTAACCCCATCGAGAAGATCTGCTACCTGATGACTGAGAACCTCCTTGAGTCTAAAACAGAGGCCAACTTAGATGAATATAATGTATAGAAGAGCATTATCTGTGAGGCTACCCATGTCATATACATGATCATTTAAATTCATATAAACCAACTTCAGAAGTCTTAGGTTTAGTGGTCTTTCAAGGACTACTCTAGTCAAATATCTGTGCTTTTCTGTCTTGATTATGTTCAGATCCCAATTATGTACTTGAGAATCACAGGACAGGTAAAGATGGAAGTCTTTCCAAGAGAATAACAGGCAAATAAAAACTACACAGCAGGATTTATGATGGCCACAAAAGCTTTGATTTATTTCATCTGATCGTCGTGCAATCAAAACCATCAACTCCACAAATCAAATAGCCATAACTTCCCTTCTAAAACAATCTAGATTGGATTTGATAAAATTGGAGGAGCCCTTGCAAGCCGTTGGATCACAGGGGTCCGACGGCCACCCTATTATACCAGCTGGCCAGTTTTTTATGGGATTACCATTGTGTTATCTCTACTTAATACTGCAGTATTGTACGTTCTTTTGACCTATTTCTTTTAACAAATACCTACAATAAAGTAACATGGAACACTACACTATGGGATTATCCCTTATTTTTGCTCTGCATTGAGCATCTTAAATCCCCCAGCATTATCTCCAGTGAATGTCCCAGCGTCCTGAAGTGGCTGAGCCATTTATATTGGCCATCATATTCTGGCACCCAAGGGAGACCATCTACCCCCACGCTACATCCCGGACTACCCCTAAGGGACCCGTGAATGACCAGGATTATATGATACAACGCGCTTTTTATTAGCGCATCTGGTGAGTGCGCATTTTATATATTTATTGGCACACCCACCTAAGGAGAGAAAGTACACTGGGATTGTGATGAAATCACTTGGAGATTACATTTGTTTTCAAGATTTTATGGACTTTCATGACCCTTACGCATGTAATGATTATGCGTTTGTTTGGTGTGATTTATGTTTTATGTGGACACTAGCACCTTATTTACATATATATATTTTTTTAGACTATTACTACATGTGAGCAAAACGCATTCATTACCTACATGCGTTTATGTCATTGAGATTGGTTATTTCTACACATTTCCTCAGCGCTGCACCAACATTTTTTTCGATTTTTTTTATAAAATTGAGTTGTTGGACCAAGGTGGGAAATTGATCATTTTGAATTGATCAACTGGACCAAGATACCTTGTCGATGAAAATACGGTTGGATTCATGAACAAAGTCCCTCAAAGTTACCAATCAAACAAAACCCACTTCCCTGAATATGGAATATTAATCGAACAGGTTGTCAACTATAATTATTTCATTGGGGTTGTCTACCACAGATTGATTGTTTCAATTGGAAAACATTGATCAGAAAGGAAACTGATCATTAATCAAAGAATGTATAGCCACCATTAGACCTCACCGAGTTTTTTTTTTTTTTTTTTTTTTTTTAATGCAACTAGTGTGTTCATAATACAGATCTAATATTTTTACAGCAAACCCTAAAGGTCCAACAGCTCCCATAGATTGCTCTGCGGTATTTTCCTATGAGTAAAAACAGAACTGAAAGTCACCCTGCCCTACGTTATATTGCAC